GAAGTTTCTACACATGTTCAACAATTTGTTGCTCTTATAGAAAATCAGTTTCATACATGTCCTAAGTTCATTAGGTCTGACAATGGATCTGAATTTCTCTTAGCTCAATTCTATGCTTCAAAGGGTATTATCCATCAAAGATCTTGTGTTGAGTCCCCTCAACAAAATGCAAGGTTTGAAAGGAAGCATCAACACTTACTTAATATAGGTGGAGCCTTACTGTACCATTCAAATTTACCTAAATCCTACTGGTCCTATGCTGTTAGCTATGGAGCCTTCATTATAAATAGAGTCAACACTACTTTACTCAATAACCAATCCCCTTATCACATACAGCATAATAAACCACCAGACATTACCCAACTTAAAGTCTTTGGATCTTTGTGCTATGCATCTACCTTGTCCAATCAAAGAACTAAATTAGATACAAGAGCTAGAAAATCATTGTTTCTTGGATATGCTGTTGGATATAAAGGCTCTATTTTACTTGACCTAAATTCCTTCAACATTTTCATTTCAAGAAATGTCACTTACCATGAACAAACTTTACCTTACCAACAACAATCTTCATCTACCACAACTCCTTAGGAATATATAGTACCTCAGTCCCCAATAACACTTTAGTTCCAAATCCCTGTCATGACATACATCATTCTGCTCAATATGATCTTCCCATTAACCAACCCAACCTTCTAGCTACCACAACCACAACTGACCCAATTCAACCTTCCAGCTCCCTTGCCAATTCTAATCCACCCACCTCTAATACACAACATTCCACTCGTGCCTCTACAAGAGTCAGAACCTCACCATCCTTTTTGAAAGATCATGTATGTACAACCTTCACTGATCCACAATGCCAATCATCTTCAAGTAATCCTCACTCTCTTTCCAACTTTATTTCACATCATAATTTGTCTCCTGCTCATTATTGTTTCACTCTTTCCTTTCTATTAATCATGAACCTAAAACATACTCCGAGGCTAGAAAATTTGAATGTTGGAATCAGGCCATGAAGGTTGAACTTGCTGCACTTGAGCAAACTGGAACTTGGAAAATTATGGATCTTCCACTCCATGTTAAACCTATTGGTTATCGTTGGGTTTACAAGATCAAGCATAAATCTGATGGAACCATAGAAAGATTTAAAGCTCGTCTTGTTGCTAAAGGATACAACCAGATTGAAGGACTTGATTACTCAGATACTTTCTCACCTGTTGCAAAGCTCACCACAATTCGCTTGGTTCTAGCCTTAGCTTCAATCCATAACTGGCATCTTCACCAACTCGATGTGAATAACGCATTTCTTCATGGTGATCTGAATGAAGATGTTTACATGTTGATCCCACCAGGTGTCCAAACTTCCAAACCTAACCAGGTATGCAAACTCATTAAGCCACTTTATGGACTAAAGCAGGCAAGCATACAATGGTTTGATAAATTGACTTCAGTCCTCACTGCCCATGGCTACTCTCAAGCATCTTCTGATCACTCACTCTTTGTTAAACAAACATCATCCACCTTTACAATTTTACTTGTTTATGTTGATGATGTTATTTTAGCAGGTAACTCTCTACAAGAGTTTCAAACTATGAAAAATATTCTTCATCAGCTCTTCAAGATCAAGGACTTGGGAATTCTCAAATGTTTTTTGGGTTTAGAAGTAGCTCACTCAAAACATGGTATCTCCATTTGCCATAGAAAATACTGTCTTGATCTTCTCAAGGATTTAGGTTTTATTGGCTCCAAACCAACTAGCACACCATCTGATCCATCATTTAAGCTTTGCTAAGATGACAGCCCTGCATATCATGATATTCCATCTTATAGACGACTCATTGGCAGACTAATCTACCTCAACACTACACGTCCAGATATCACGTTTATCACACAACAACTCAGTCAATATCTTTCCAAACCTTCTACTCAACATTATAATGCTGCTTGTAGAGTTTTGCGATACCTCAAACAATGTACAGACCAAGGCTTATTTTTTCCACGAAGTTCATCACTACAAGTAACAGGTTTTTCAGATGCTAACTGGGCTGGTTGTATAGACACACGTAAATCCATTTCAGGATCATGTTTCTATTTGGGCAGCTTTCTTATTTCATGGCGAACAAAGAAACAAACCACTGTCTCTCGTTCATCTTCAGAGGCAGAGTATCGTGATTTAGCTGCAGCCACGTGTGAACTCCAATGGCTTTTGTACTTGCTTAGTGACATGCACATTACATGCTCTCAAGTCCCAATTCTCTTTTGTGACAGTCAAAGCGCACTCCGCATCGCTGCTAACCCTGTTTTCCATTAACGTATGAAACATCTTGACATTGATTGTCACATTGTACGCGAGAAATTTTCAGCAGGCATGATGAAACTCCTTCCCGTGTCCTCCAACAACCAACTTGCTGATTTCTTCACCAAACCTCTCCTACCCAAACCATTTCACTTCCTCAAAGCCAAGTTGAACTTAATAAACATCTACCAAATTTCAACTTGTGAGGGGCTAATAGATGACACAAGCAATATTTAGTTATATAGTTAGTTACATTCTGTTATGAAGTTTTTTATCTCTCCTCCAACTATATAGTTGATGTAATCTTCATTCAAACAATAATAGAAGATTACTCTGTATTTTATCTTCTTCCTCTTCTCTTTAAGCTTTCTTACCATTCTTCAATGACTTTCATATGTGAAGCATAATACCTTCCATTGATCTGACTACTTATAGAAGGCTCAATGGAAGGTTGGTATACTTGTGCACCACACGACCTGACATCAGTTTCTCTGTCCAACAACTAAGTCAGTTCATGTCCTCCTGACCATTGTGCACCTACAAGCTGCTTATAGGATTCTCAAATACATCAAACTCTCTAATTTTCAGAGGTTGTTCTTTTCATTAGCATCCATTATTCAGCTCAAAGCATTTAAAGACTCTAATTGGGCTTCATGCAGTGATGCACAAAGATCTAGTTACTTGTATCTCAACCGTTCAAGTTCTTGTCCATTCCAACCTCATGTTGTAAGTGAGAAACTCCTTGCAAAACCGTTCCAGTTATTGTTCATTCCAACCTCAACACAACTGTCTGATGTTTTCATTAAGCCATTTGATCTCAACCTTTCTTGTTAATCTTATCCATGTTTGAAATCTTCATTAGTTACACTTTAACTTGAGGGAGGCTATTAAACAATATAATGTTACTTCAATTAGTTAGTTAGGGTTTCACGTGGTATGTTAGTTAGTTACTTGGATCTCAAGTAACTCTAGCGATATATATATATATATATATATATATATATATATATATATATATATATATATATATATATATATATATATATATATATATATATATATATATATATATATATATATATATATATATATATATATATATATATGTGTGTGTGTGCGCGCGCGCGCGCTCGCAGTCGCTAAACTTTAATATATTATATTATAGTTGAATTCTGACAAAAAATAATTAAGAAGACCGTACAATTATATATATATATATATATATATATATATATATATATATATATATATATATATATATATATATATATATATATATATATATATATATATATATATATATATATATATATATATATATATATATTATTTTGCTTTCATTATCTAAGATGATGGAAATAGTATAGAAAAAGGAAATAGTATAAATTTAAAATACAATTATTCAATTCTCAAGGTTTGGTCATGATAACATAACTCTTTACCAAACTACAATAAACCAACAACAAAATTGGTGACAATAAGATTGATTGAAAAACGGTTTCAAACTTTCTTTGATTTGTAGCAAATGTCTTGATAAGATTCACAATTTACTTGCCATTTTAAAATCCCCATGCAACGACCTTACTTTAATATTCTAGAAAATGTCACTATTCAATTGTTAATTAGGGTAGTAGACTTATACTAAAACAAATACTAGTACTCTCATAATAACATTTTTTTATACTTTTTTTTAAACAAGATTTTACTAGTTGAATTTGGGTTAGAATGGATTATAAGAAATAAATATGTAAAATTAACAAAAATTTTGAACAAATTTACAATGCATATGTTTAGAACAATTTTTGGGTCCTCATTCCCTTGTCCCTATTAATTTCAAACGTGAAAATTGTGAAACAACAATAAATAGCATCATCCTAAACACACGTTTGTAGCAACAAATACTTGTGTTACAACTACTTTTCTTAATATTTGTAAATAATTATATTAGAGGGTTTTATACTAAAGGCATATAAAGTAATAATTTTCTCATTCATAAAAAGTAATATTTATCTGAAAATAGTGCCACTTGTAATATAAATTAATTAAAAATTTTGTGGCTGGAATTTCACCTTTAAAAATAAATAAGTGACATGTCACATGTTCGAACCAACATTATTCATCTGATATTTCTGCATAGTTATTAACGGAATCAATTTAATAAAATTTAATTATTTTTAATTGTACCATTTAGTTAATATTATTTATATTAATTTATTATTATTATTATTATTATTATTATTATTATTATATATTATTTATTAATAAAAATAATTTAATAAAATAATATATCTTTTATTTTTATTTATAAAACTATTAATTTTTATAAATATTAATAATTTATTTACATTAATATAAATATAAATAAATTAAATTGCCGCATATTAAATTCTATACTACCCGTTTATATTCATTTAATTCAAGTAACTATTATATTTTATTAATATGCATGGAATCATCTAAAGTTATTTTGAAATGGAACAAGTACATAAGTTTTTTATAATGAAAATTTTCTTTTTTTTTTGTTGAGAAACCTTGATTTACGCCAAGTGATTGATATATTTTTTTCTTTGCCTACACTATAAAAAGGGTAGCACATAACTCATTTTGCTTCAACCAAGAAGTCATCATAAAGCAAATTCCAAAGCAAGAAAAGCACTTTAGTGTTGATTCTGCAAAAGGGTCACACACAACACAACCATTGAACATGATGAAAAAAACTTCACTTCTTTTCTTGTTACTCATCATCACATGTTTGTTGGTTGTTGAAAATGTTGAATGCAAACCAAATTACAGAGAAGCTTTGGCTAAATCTTTGCTGTTTTTTCAAGGTCAGAGGTCAGGAAAACTCCCTCCTGATCAACAAATCAAATGGAGATCCAATTCTGGTCTCTCTGATGGTCTTCAAGACAATGTAATATTCTTCTTTTTCATTTTTATTGTTTTCATTTTCTTAATTATTTATTGTTCATCTGGTTTTTGTATTTGGTTTATTATTGAAAATGTTGCAAAAGTATGTTTCTCTTGGAGCCAACATAATAAGTTTGAAAATTTTCAATGTTCAACCAAACATAGCATGCATGTATGTACCTTGCTGAATCTGTTACTTTTTGTTGACTTATAGTTTTTGTACTCTTCTATATGATGCCTAGTTTCTTGAGTCATTTTCTCTTGCTTGTTTAGATGTTTTTTAATCACTTTTTAATGCTTCAAAATCAATTATGTTTTGAAATGATACTGTTCTGTTCATTGCTGAAAGATTCCAATTTTACAGTACAGAATAAAGACAAAAGTCAAATAATAAAGTTGAATTCAGTCTTTTTCTTTTGGATACATTTAAGAAAAAATGAGTTGAAAATTAAATTTCAGTATGAAAATCGTGTTTAAACTCAAAAGTTATAAATTGCAGTTTAAAATAAGCTGAAAGAAGATTATAGATATATCATAAATTATTTTCATTAACTCGCACAACACTCACAGATGTTTATGTCAGTAGATAAATTCAAATAAAACAGTTCCGATACGTCTTTCGAATTTTTGACTTATATTAAAGTGCTAAGACATTGTTTGGCACAGGTGGATTTAAGTGGAGGCTACTATGATGCAGGAGACAATGTGAAATTCAATTTTCCAATGGCATTCACAACAACAATGCTATCATGGAGCACAATTGAATATGGAAAGAGAATGGGACCTCAAATGAAAGAAGCAAGAGCCGCAATTCGCTACGCCACCGACTATTTCCTCAAATGTGCAACAGCAACACCCGGAAGACTTTATGTCGGTGTCGGAGATCCAAACATCGATCACAAATGTTGGGAAAGACCAGAAGATATGGATACTGCTAGAACTGTTTATTATGTATCTTCGAAGAATCCCGGTTCAGATGTTGCTGCTGAAACTGCTGCCGCACTCGCAGCAGCTTCTATTGTTTTTAGAAAAGTTGATCCATCTTATTCTAAGCTTCTGTTGAGAACTTCACAGAAGGTTTATCAGTTTGCTTTGCAGTATCAAGGTTCATACAGTAATTCACTCGGTTCCGCTGCTTGTCCGTTTTATTGCTCATATTCTGGATTCAAGGTAAACTTATTTTCCAGTTAGTCTCAACTTTCGAAAGCTCGGGTTCTTAACTATCTGCACTATCGCACTATCGCATAGCAGAACTTTAACAATCTGCAATTGACAACATTGCATGCAACAGATAATATCGGTCGTTAATTTGAGACTTGACGTCTCAAATCACACATTCATAAAATCAATTTTAAATAATCTCAGCCATTGATTTAGATCGGTTAGTCGAAACCAATAACTGTGTAACAGAATTAGTGAATGTGTAATTCTAATATCATTTTGTTTATTTTCAGGATGAACTATTGTGGGGAGCTGCATGGCTTTTTAGAGCAACAAATGCAGTTTACTATTACAAATTGGTGAAATCTTTGGGAGCTGATGATCAACCTAATATCTTCAGTTGGGATAACAAATATGCTGGTGCACATGTTCTTCTTTCAAAGGTAAGTTTCTCATATCATGCGACTTCATCGGGAAAAAAATTTGTTATTCGAAACTTTGTCTAACTCATTAGGTTTCTACGGTTGTTACTGCAGAGAGCATTGCTGAATCGTGATAAGAACTTTGACCAATATAGACAAGAAGCCGATAATTTCATGTGCAAGATCTTGCCTAACTCACCCTCTTCAACTACAGAATATACACAAGGTTCAAACAATCATTTTTCTGAATCACGACTTGATTATCGATTTTGATAACAACCGTCATGATTACTAATATTCATGAATGTGCAGGAGGACTCATATTCAAGTTACCTGAGAGCAATCTTCAATATGTGACAGCTATAACATTCTTACTTACAACCTATTCAAAGTATATGTCAGCTACAAAGCACACATTTACCTGCGGCAACGTTTTCGTCACTCCGAATACCTTAAGATCCATAGCAAAAAGACAGGCAAGACTTGTTCATTCAACCATATAGTGACTTCAATGTTCTCTTCTCCAAATTGTCGATAAATTTTGTTGTGAACTTTGAATTTCAGGTGGACTACATATTAGGTGAAAATCCTCTAAGAATGTCCTATATGGTAGGGTATGGTCCATACTTTCCTAAGAGAATTCACCATAGAGGTTCTTCATTGCCTTCGCTATCAGTTCATCCACAAACCATAGGCTGCGATGGAGGTTTCAATCCATTTTTCCATTCAATGAGCCCTAACCCTAACATATTGGTTGGAGCCATAGTTGGAGGTCCGAACCAGAACGACGGGTTTCCGGATGATCGTGGTGATTACAGTCATTCCGAACCAGCAACATACATCAACGGTGCTATTGTTGGACCTTTAGCATACTTTTCCGGAAACAAGTAATGTTAGATTTGACTTCGATAGCAAGGTTAAAACGAAACCTTGCTACCGAAGTATAGATATTGTCACTCGTCTATACCCAACAAAGGGATGTCTACCAACTCAAAAATCAGATGGTGGACTATGAAGTGATCACTGATCAGTGTTAATTTTCAGTCTTTGATACAAAAAATGTAACTTCTAGTAATCTTAAGTTTCATCCAACATGTTTACAATGTTTTACATTACATGGTTTTCTATGCACGCCAAAAGCATGTCTCACTTAGCATAACAACATGCATAAGCATAACAACAAATCATGAACTAATGAGAAATCATTATACTAATTTCCACTTTAATAGTTAACAAGAAAAGTCAATCTAATTCATAGCTTTTGTGCTTCTGCAATTCTTTTTCAAGAGCCACTCTAATCACACTTTTTTTTTACTATTAAATAAATGTTCTCTGTCTAATCTAGTTTCCACAAAGCAAGGTCTTTGTTTTCTTAACAAGAAACTAATATAAAAATGAAATGGCTATATTTTGGAAAGCAACAAAGCTAGCTCTTCATCAGATACCTTAACTTCGACGTAGGATCCCAACGATGCAGCCAGTCTCGCAGCTAACTGATGTTTACACTGAAAAACGCACATACACATACACCGTAGTGCAATGATAAGAATGTTTACAGTGAGTTTTTGAATATGAAGAAATAAAAGACAAGAAAGTACAAGGCCTTACACAGAGTTGTTCCCCTCTATTGACAACATCATAGAAGAATGAATAACACGCACAGAAATTTTCAGCAAAACACAGATACCGGTCTTTTTTCCGTGATTCCCCTGTAACCTAAACAATCGAAGAATATGCACACAGTAATTCAAATCAAGAGCATCAATGATTCCTTACAATTCCATGAAAATTTGCAAAGGCAATAAAATTAAGAAAAACAAACTTTTAAAACCAGAAACCTGAAAGATAAACCTTCCACTTGGTTCACCAGAAATTCTCTTAACACCTCTTTGATCCACTATTCTAGCAGCTCCCTCAAAGTTCTTACCAAACAAAAAATGTAAACTGGATTTTTTTTACAAAAGATACAAATTTCAAACACAATAACAATAACAATAACAATAATCTATGCTATAAATTGAAAGAAAAGAAAAATGGAAGCAATATATACTTACATATAAAGTTGATCACCATTCACTGTGACATGAAAATGAAAAGTGGCAACAAAAGTTAGTGTCAATTGAAATGAAACCAAAATTAGGGTTTCAAATTTTGGATTGAAATGATTGAAAAATGAAACTACCTGTGTTTGTAGATTCAATTTCCTTCCACACTTTTTCTGCTACCAAATTACTTGCACTCATTCTCAATTTCCACTTTCTACCCTTTCAACAAGAAAAACTAATTGCAACAAACTTAAAAATGGTTCATTTTCTAGAAACCAGACCGGGTTCATTAGATGGTTCATAAACCAGCCGGATATTGAAAACCCGGTTAACCGGGTTATAAATTATAACAAAAAGTAAGAACCCTAATCCTGTAACCCCAAACCAAATAGTGCAATTTTCTCCAAATCGTGATTCTCGCTTCATTTATCTTGGATTCTTCATCGTATCATTGTTGAGGTAAAAAGTTCTTCAAGTTTAGATGTTGCTACTTTGTTGATAATTATTATTTACATTGAGATGCAATTAATTATTGCTTTTGTAGTTTTTAATTTTCTACCTTTGTAGGGTTATTTGCATGAATTTTGAATGTGGTAGAAATTATTAGGTTAACTTTTTTTGTTAAATAGGTACAGTGAAGTGTTTCTACTGTATTATTCAGTGGCTAATTAATTATGGTATAAATTATAATGAGTAATCTGAGTAAATAATTGATTTTGGAATTAAGCTTCATTTCATCCATCAGCAGTAATTTGTTACAATTTACATTGAGCTCATATTTGGTAATATACTCAGTAGCACCGACATATAAGAAAAAAGTGTGTCTGTTCAAGTGTCGGTGTTTGAAATCGATACTTAAATTTGTGATTGTGATTATGTTTTATTTATTCATTTGTTCTAAGTATTACCGGTGTCAATATATCGTCGCCAGTGTCGTATGTTTGGTGTCGGTGTTTCATAGCTAATATCTTCATACGTAGTTAAACTTGGTATTGTCATCAATTATTAAAACTATTTTGAGCAAATTTTCTACTTTTGTTTTAAGTGAAATTTTGAAGTTGAAACTTTGATCTTTTGATATGTCTAGTCTAGTTGATTACGCCATATTGATCCCTAATAATTGATTACATTTCAATGTTCTGCATACCAGATTGTTGAAGAGTTCAACCAGTTTTAACCAGGTTTGATATAAGAGAATGCAGAATATGAAAGAGGAAGAGGTTAACCGTTGCCAGATTCAGAAATGGTACCCGATTTTCAAATCTGTATCCATCAAGACCTTAATCTATCAACTTCCTGAATCTTTCGTTCAATACCTTCTTGACGACTCTGGGCCCTTTCTATTGCCTATTTCTATCTTAAACGAAGATGCATTGCCGAATAGGATTCATAATCCTATTGATGAAGAAGATCTGCAGGTGTCAGAGGGATCTGATGATGAATCGGAAGAATCTTCTACACCACCTTCTTTTCCAGAACTCGAGCTGAAAGTTAAGGAATCCATCGAGTCGCTTGGGGGTGCGGTTTTTCCCAAGTTGAATTGGAGTGCACCAAAAGATTCGGCTTGGATAAGTACTTCTGGCACTCTTCGCTGCACCACTTTTAGTGAGATTGCACTTCTGTTTCGAGCATCCGACTCATTAGTACATGATTTATGTCATGCTTATGATTCTTGCTCCGATAAACTTTCGTCAAGACCACATACTTTCTTCCTTGCTCTACGTAAATGGTATCCATCCCTTAAGCCAGACATGGAATTTCGATGTTTTGTGCGGAATAAAAAATTAGTCGGAGTTTCTCAGCGGGAGGTTACTACTTTTTATCCGGTTCTTGTCGAAACCAAGAATGTTCTCTTATTACAGATTCAACAATTTTTTAACAATTTTGTGAGAACTAAATTTGAGTCAGAAAACTACACATTTGATGTTTACGTTACAAATGATGAGAGAGTTAAGATCTTCGATTTCAACACTTGGGGTGGATCTACATTGTCATTGTTGTTTACCTGGGATGAATTAGAGCATATTCATTGTGAAGAAGGAGATGATGTCGAGTTTAGAATCATCGAAGATCGCTGCGGTGTTAGGCCTGGCCTCAAAACAGCAGTTCCATATGATTACTTGGATACAAGTTCAGGAAGTGGTTGGGATCAATTTCTAAGAAATGCTGATGAAGAGTTAAAACAACAATCAAGGTCTACTCAAGCTGGTGCATGATAATAACTTTAGGTTCGCAATTGTTAACTTTGAGATAGCAAATAATATAGTATCTACGTAGCACCGACAATTTAGATTGAAGACGTCTTCGACAATTGACACAGACATGTTCAGAAAAATCATTTTTTAAATATAATTTTTTGAAAAAAATTGTGATTTCAATTATGTTTTGATGTTCAATAATTTATGTTTATGTTATAGGACGTTAAAATTAATTTTTTAATTTAGAAAAAAAGAATATAAAAAAGTTTGTAATATTTTAAAAAATAATTTTATAAAATCTATTTTTAAAAATATAAAAAAGATCTTTTTTTTAAAGATAAAATCAACATGCACATAATGTATAGGAAAAGGAATATTATGGTGTGATATGTTGAATATGTTGAGTGACTTGAAATTAAGGTACACTTTATTTTCTTGAAAAGCATATGCACGTAGGTGTTACGTTGGGGTTGTTTAGTTTGTTTTTTTCCTCGTTAGTTTTCATTACATGGCTTATTTCTTTTATCCTAATTAGTGGATAAACACTATGGAAATTTAAAAATAGTCTTACAAACTTGAAAGGATACTCTTAGACACGTCTAAAATATATTAAAAATAGTGAATCACACACTCATTTTACAAAAGAAAAATTGAAAATATATTTTAAAAATAAATTCAAAATGTACTTTTGTAAAAAAAATATAAAAAATCACATAAGTAGACAAACATACCAATACTCAATTTAAACTTGTGGATACCAAAGAATTCGAAGAGTGCTTGATTTGATTTGAAGCAATTTTAGAATGGATGACCTTTTAGGAAGTTTTTCGAAAAGTATGTGAGTGAGGACAAAACATGCTGAAAAGACACGTGTTGGTTGGTGGGGTCAGTTGATAATCCTAAAAGTAGTCTAAAAGTAGTCTTGGACGTTACAACAATCTGTTGCTCCCAAATGACAATTGATTGCACTAGTGTAAATTTTGGAAATTACACTAATGACAATCAGTTGTAGCAGAGTGAAAATCGATTGTCATGATTTTAAAAATGTGATTTTTGGGTTTGGCAGGGTGGGTGACAATTGATTGTCACTTTGTGTCAACCAGTCGTCACTGTATCAATTTTGAAAATTTTCTATTATGAATTATGATATGCTATGGCGTTTTACCTCATAACTTTTTAACTATGTATCCAATCGGCGTGTCATTTGAGGTGTTAGGAAGTTGGCACTCAGAGCTATAACATAATAGAGTTAAGTGAATTGTTTAAGTATTATTCATATGTATACTGTGTTGGTGAAGTTTTGTTAATATGTTCAGTTAATGGATTGTAATTGTTGTGATAATGTTGATGTAGTTATGAGATGAATTATTATATCTATAATGATAACATGTTGAGTTAAGATATATAGTTTCAGTGTGGAAACTACTCTATGGTTGTTGTACAAGAATCATGCGGTTCGATGTGATGTCGTTAATTATTGTTGAAATATTGTGATGATACATTCATTCATTCATTCATTTTATATTGTTGTTATTGGTGAAAGGTGCAGGGGTCTCGGTGAGGGGACCTGTGAGTGTCCCAAGCTCGGTGTGGGGCTCATGAGTTCAGTAGATGGAACCCGGTTCATGATGAGAACCATTGTTGAGATCCATACTGCATGCATACGAGTCATTAATATGTTGTGAGTTGTATTGCATGGATAAATGCATACGATAATGATGTGGGTGAGTTATGAATACTTGTGGATGTGGTGCATGATTGATTTATATGTGAATTTGTATGTAGTAAACTACTTTGATTATATATGCATCGTTAATTATTTGAATGTATATTCATCCCCTATTTGTGTTGGTGTGTCTGTGCTCTTCTGGAGTATAAACAATCGGAATAGGAGCTTGAGGTTGAGAACGATGTTGTTACTCCTCAGTTGTTTTAGTCAAATCGCTCTTAACACTAGGGGAACAAGTTATTATTTGTTTTATGTTAGGTTGCATATCTTCCTTTTGTTTTAAAGATGAATCAAGATAAATTTTGAATTGTTAATGAGGATTTTGATGCCATAGTACTTTTAAAACAAAATTTTGTGTATTGAATTATTTAATGATGAATAAACATTTCAGTTTAGATGATGGTTTTGATGTGAATAAAATCTTATTTGGAGAATTGCGTATTGTATATGTTTTATTTGATTTAGTTGTTAAGTCGAGAAATAGGGTGATATACATAGAAAAACATATTTTAATTTTATGTTATTGTTATTTGTTAGTTACATATTCGTATAATTTGATCGATGGTGGAAAAAACAATATGTTTTTTATAATTTAATAAACTTTGATTTTTAGTACAAATTATTTACTATTTAATTTTTTAAATTTACTATACATAAAAGTTAAGTGCAAGTTATTAACGTAAAAGTTAAAAAATTTAAAAATTTAATGAAATTGTAAATTCATCATTTGCGTCGGAATTTTCTATAAAGAAAAAGTCTATAATAGGATTATATTAGTCAATTGTGATTCTCATTTTAATTGGAATGTTAAATGTGTTTCTCTGTAATATAATCAAATTTTCAATAATTTAAACTCCTCGTGTATGGATAGTATTGCTAAAATTAATTGGAATGTTAAATGTGTTTCTCTGTTAATTATTTGAGATGTTTTTGTTATCATCATCTCATTTTTGTTTTTATATTTGTCAAGTGTGATTCTCATTTTATTTTTAATTTTGTGTTTTATTTGATAGAATATATATATATATATATATATATATATATATATATATATATATATATATATATATATATATATATATATATATATATATATATATATATATATATATATATATATATATATATATATATATATATATTGTTTAATATTAATTTTTGTTAGGTTAAATTAATTATTTTGTTAAGAAAAGGAGATGAAAGAGAAAAAAAATAAAAAAGACTCTTAAACATTAAAATAATTATAAATAAAAGAAAAGAAAAAAAAATAGAGACGATAAAGTAAGAAAGAGATTTGATACGGTGACATTAATTAGATATAATATCCGTGATAGAATTACTATAAAATTAAAGAAATTTAAGTCGGGATACACATGTTTAATTTTTTTTAGATTAGTTTTCATTTTAAATTTGTGATATGCATTTTTAATTTTAAAGTAGTTATATTAATTTTTTTATAGATTAAAAATATGTATCATTAATTTTTTTAGATTAAGAATATGTGATATGCATGTTTCTTTAAATATAAATAACAATTTTTTGTGAAAAAGAAAAATTTAAAGTAGTTTTCAAATTATTTCTCATCCTATCTCTTTTTCATTATTAAGAAAATAAATAGTACGATGTCACCAAATAAATTGACAAAAAATTGAGAGTGTTTTTTTTTTAATTTTACCTTTTTGTTCCTATTATAATTATTAAATAATTTAATTAATTAAATGCTAAAAATTAAAAGTTATTAAAAATAATTTAATTAAATATATTAATTTAGTGATATTTTTATATAAAGTTAAATTGATAAAACATCTTACATTTTTTTAATATTTAAATAAATTAACAGTAATATGAATAAATCAAAATATAAAAATGATGATAATATATATATATATATATATATATATATATATATATATATATATATATATATATATATATATATATATATATATATATATATATATATATTCACACACATAGATAAAAATAACAATACTATAAATTAATAAATAAATAAATAATTAAATAAATAACAATATAAGTATATGAAAATGACAATACTATAAATAAATAAATAAATAAATAAATAAATAAGTATATGAAAATAACATTGTAAATAAATACATGATTATAAAACTTATAAATTATTATATATATTTTTTATCGTGTTTTAATATGATCTCTCATCCTTAACAAAGACATTGCAAACAAAGTAAACAACAAGAACACAAAATAATATGAAAAATATGAGAAAGATGAATGAGAGAGGAATGTAGTGTGTAAAAATGAGAAGTGGATGGGTGGTATTTATAAGGCTGGAAGAAGATTTATAATAATGTGGTAGTTGAATGAAGAAAATATGATAACAATGAGATGGTTGAATGAAGAAATATGATAATTATGTGATGGTTGGATGAAAAAGATGTGATAACAATGTTCGGTTGAATAAAGAAGGTCTGATAATAATGTATAATTGAACAAAGAATATATGATATGCATTTATAGAAATACTAACGTATATATGTGCATGCAAAAGGTTGCCATCAGGTCATTTTTTGTGCGTGCTTACTATTGCAACAAGTGTCACCATTTTAATTGGTAGATCCTTTAAATTTTTAAAAAATGTTGCCATGTCATTCGATGGATCCTAACATATTTACGACGTGTCTTCCATTTCATTTAACATATTCTAACATATGTGTTATTCAGGTTTAGATGGGGTGTTCAATATACCTATACTCAAAAAGATAATTTAAAAACATTTTAAATTTCATAAAACAAAATTAGAGATTTTAAAATACACGACAGTAAAACACAACACGAAGAAAACTTAGAAGCTTCTCAATGAATTAATCCAACAAAATCATTATAAGACATCACTAAAAGCATGATTCTTTCGAATACAAATCAATTACAAGATAACTAAAACCACTTTAAACAAAGCGATTTAAAAACACTTTATGTTAAAATTTATTCAAGACATAGTTGAATTTATGATGATCCAATAAGCTTGATGTATCACAAACCTAAACTTACATATTAAATTGCTATAACCGAAGTCTAACCTAAATGACGTACAAATTATGCAATAGTTATAGTAATGAATGCAGAAAATTAAAAGAGATAAGGAAAGAAAGAAGAGTACACAGAGATACATAGTGATTCAACGTTTGTCCTCGCCTTGCATACTTCACTCTTCAATGATGTTAAAACCATCTAAAAATAATCATGATCTTCGACTATTTTGATAAGTTTGATATAAGAATTTTGATTACAAAGAAATATCACACGA